GATATTCCAAAATAAATCTTTTAAATATCATCAGGGGCCTCCATTGACTTGTTTTTAATACAAAAAACCGAAATATTTTGGGGGCGGAAAAACGGCCTTAACCCCACTTGTCCTTTATGCAGAAAAGTGGTTGAAATGTTATTTTTAAAGAAAAACGCGTATTATTCCTCAAAAATTCGACTTTTAGGGTATAAATGAGATACAATTCTTTTTATCCAATTTTTTTTTCTGAACGAATTTTTTTCACGTTTACACACGAGCAACTGCACTTTTATATCGGTCGTTAGATATTCTTTAGTCAATCTGTCTCTTTCTTCAAGATATAAATGAAAGGGGAATGGAAAATGCCAAATTTTCCTTGGAAAGAACTTGGGCACAAGTGTTGGTTGTGAAGAATCTATGAGAATAACATTTTGATTATATGTTCTCAGTTGTATTTGGAAAAATAAAAGTGTGTATTATGTTTTGTGTTCCATTCAGAGATGGGCAGCTCCGACTCCGGAGCGGCCGCTCCGTGAAGCTAGCTCCGCTCCATGGAGCGGAGCGGAGCTGAGCGATTAATCAGAACGGTGGAGCTGGAGCGAAGTCGGAGCGATTTTTTTTCACCGAGACCGGAGCTGGAGCGGAGCGCTTCTTGAAAAAAAATTGAGCTGGAACGGAGTCGGAGCGGCCTTTTTCTCTCTAGCTCCAACCATACACTCCTTTTCGGATCAATTTCGACTAAAATCGATTAAAATTTGATAAAAAAAAATTGATTTTAATTGTTTTTTTTCGTGATTCATGAAAAATCTTCAGCTGATATTCATCGATCTGCATGAATCATAATCAATTTAGTTCATCAGATTTTAATCTTTTGTTATCCCTAACATTTTTACATGGGTTTTCTTTTGTGAACGAAGACGGGGAAATTAGTGAAAGAAAAGCTCGTCATCTAGTATTCAATGTAATGAATATGTCACTGTTACATTTTAATCAATGACGACGCTTGAGATAATGACTGACCGTTCATTTAGTTGATTGTTCTATGGCTGATTGGACTCCGCTATTGTCAGTTTTAAAATGTACGGACATGACGCCTGCGAAGAGACAAAATTAAATCAAATAAAATGTGACAGAGTTGAGTGATGATAGAACAGAACAACATTTTTCGTTCAACTGAAAGTTGAAGGAACAAAGTAGGGTGTGGGTCTTGATTTTTATCTCATCTCGACCTAAACTAAACCCACATCCACTCTCTAAGAATATGCTCTCAATGTTAACTTTACTAAAATGCAATCGACAATTATTGGAATTCACTAGTCTATTTATCATCAGAAATAATTTTCATGTTGTAATCAAGCTAACTTAAATGTATTGATAATTAGTTTCTTTTTAATTGTATAATTAATTATTGTTTTCCTATATTCTCTATTTATATATATATATATATATATGTATGCTGAATTAAACCGTGAAATTCATTGATTATCATCTAACTTCAAAAAAAAATAGTAGAAAAACCTTTTTTGTTAAAGCGGAGCTGGAGTGAAGTCAGAGTGGAGCTGGAGCGGAGCCGGAGCGGTTGTTTTTGATTAGGACCGGAGCTAGAGCGGAGCTGGAGCGAAATTTTCTAGCCTGGAGTGGAGTCGGAGCGGAGCACGTCATTAACGACTGGAGCTGGAGCGAGAAAGGATCGGAGCTGCCCATCTCTGATTATATCTCTTAATGTATTTGATCATATTTTTTTATTTATTTTCTTTATTTAGTCTATGTTAAATTGCAATTTACATCTAGGAATTAAAAATCTAGCTGTAGAAGAATAGTGTTTGCTTTGTGTTATACTTGATCCAATGCATTTGTATTTACATATCATCAGAAGTGTTTTTTTTTATTGCTTGCTGTTCTTCTATGCTTAGTTGACTATGTAGTCTGAAAACTATCTTCGTTTTATAAATTATGCAAAGTGTACTTGCAAAGAAAAATATCGAATAGCTGTTGTAATAAGACCTCACTTGTTTTGTAAATAGAACAAAAAGTAAAATTTCGTCTGAAGCTATATATTCGAATCTTTCTGAAGTAAAAACAAAATATTTGTTTTTCGAATGCATACTCTTATATTTGTTGTCTTTGAGATTATAAAATGTCATCCACAACACAATCTTTATCGACTGGGGTATGTGATGGAGAAAACTTGACGGTTATATTAGCACTTTATTGTGTTGTCTATTTGATTACTAATGCTGTCATATTTGCTGTTGCTATGTATACTCTTCGAAGATGTTTTGATAATGTCAAGCTTCCTGGTGAAAAAAGTAAAAAGAAAGAAGAACATACTGCATCACGTACAAACAGTCGAAAGAGCCTTGTTTCACGCAACAAGCATTGAATCAATAAAACAAGACTCAATAGCTTAACAATTTTTTATTCTTTATCGTTTGATTGAATGTTTTTCATTGTTATTAAAATGAAACACCTAATCACCAAACGGTACAAAGCTATATTGTATGTTGAATAAGAAATTCAAAGAATTAATCATGTAGATGAACACGCAATGCTTGAAAGAATAGAAAAATAGTTAAAATAAGTAGAACTTGAACGCAGGACAACGAAGGAAAAAGGTAAGGATTCTTTTGATGTTTCTAATATCGATTGAGTTACATTTCTTGCATTGAGACATATACTTTTCTGTTTGATAATAAAGTGATTAAGAATCTTAGGTATTCGAGAAAAATATATCATTATTCTTTTCTCAGAAAAATTTAAAAAGAAACTATTGCTTAATGTAATCGATCGTTCGTGAGTATTACAAAGAATTTGATGATATAAAAAAATCTAACTCATATTTAAATACGACTATAGTTTTCTAAAGATTTTCATTTTTACTCTTTAATTTAACAGATATAGTGGACTATATGATTTTTATTATTAGCTGATAACTTTAAATAGTGTTAAGCAGATGTTAAATAAACCCTATGAACTATGCAATATTTTCTGTTCATATTACTTCATCATTCATTGCAAGTCAACACAGACATTAACTAATATTATTTAAGATTAAAAAAGGAAAACACAAATGACAAGTATAAAAGCACTTGTTTATGTAGTTTGAATAAATACAAAGATAATTACGATTTTCAATAAACATCATGCGGAATAGCCATTCGAAGAAATACTGAAGATTTATAAAGCCCAGCGTGCTCGTCATTCTGCTAATTATTCATTACTCTCTCATTAATTTGAATCCTACAAACTAGAAAAACTGTCGCTATCTCTTTCTTTTTTTTTCTTTTCTTCCTCGGCAAACTAATGTATATGGTATTACAAATAGTGCTAGGCTAAGAGAAAGTGTTGTTATTGGTTCTTGTCAAAAACAAGAAATTCTATCAGAGGAAAATGCAATACTTATCTTTCTTTCTTTTTTTATCTTTCAATTCTTTATTTCTTTTTTATTTCGAATGACAGATACTTATTTTCTCTCATCATTTATCTTCAGCATACAATTGCCATTCATTTTCTCGCGATTGAGTGCGAATTTGTATGTAGTGTTAGCTAATAACTTGTTCTAGGAAATTAATATAAATCTATTTCTCTCTCTCGTCAAATACTGAAACGATTACTATTATATTCTGTCTGTTATTTATTTTGACTAAAGAAACAACGAGAAACTTTCAAAATCTCTTTAGTTTTTTTTCTTTTCATTTTTTAGCTTTGTTTATAAAATGAATATTACAGAATATAATCGCGATTTGACAAATAATACTATTACAAGTTTTCTCAATGTTGTACCCAGAATAAATGAAAGTTCATTTGTTAAATATAATTATCATAATGATAGTATGGAATATAATAATAACATTCATATTACAAATTATTCTGGTAGTGATTCACAACAACTTGCAATGATTCTTCAACAATTCATGTCAGATATGGGTGATAATGAAACAATATATAATATTCTATCAAGTTTAGATATATTTAATTCAGAATCATCTGTTATGCCGACATCAATATTTTCATTTGAAACATTTTTTCCATCATCAACAAGTAATACAAATTCTTATCATTTTCTTTCATTTTTATCACTTTGGTTTGTTTTAATTGTTAATCCTATTGTGGTAAATAAGCGATAAAATATAATTTCATAGTAAAAAAAAAGAAATAATAATCTTAATTTTTGTTTTTCTTAGATTTTGTTTGGTGTTACTGGTAATCTTCTTGCAACATATATTTTAATACATTGCAATATTGCTAAATTACCTGTTTCATTTTATACAATTATGCTCAATATATCGGATACATTAAATTTATTAATACCAGTATTTATCTTTTGGCTTGACAATTGCATTAATCGAATACCCGAACGAGGTTATTTTCGTGATAGATCAAATTTTCTTTGGTTAGTTATTAAAATAAATATTATTATTATTTATTATTATTTTTTCTTTTATTTAGTAAAGCATTAATGTGTCCTGATCAATTATTTGCATCATTAAGTGCATGGTACATGTGTGCAATATCATTTAATCGTTGGTATTCTGTATGTCGTCCATCATCATATTTTTTTCGTACAACAACAACAACCACCAATAATAGAAATAGTATTAAGCATGGACAAAAGAAAAATTCATCTAGCTCATCCGCAACACAATCCAATGCATTAGTTATACCATTTTGTTTTCCTATTAATTGTTGTTCTTGTTTAACGCGCAATATTAAATTTCGACAACATTTACAAGCATTTCGTAGTATTGCTTTTATGACTTTAATGGGTATATTATGTTGTCTTTATCCAATATTTATGCATGAGCTGCGACCTTTTATATCAACCAATAGACATACTTTTGATGTAAACCATAAAATGACTAATCCACATCCTACGGTTTGGAAACGATGCTATTATAGTCAAAAACATGAATATGCTTATGATGCTATTGGTATTATATTATCATGCTTTTTGCATCTGTTACCATTAACATTTGTTGCTGCAATGAATATAATGATTATAATACGATTAAAACAAAGACAATATCGCATGACAATGGCAACAAATTCATTACCATCTCGAAAATTATCTAAAAAAACAAAATCATTTAATTCTTTACAAAAAAAAAATTCTTATTTATTTAATTCATCATCATCAAAAAATAGAAATAATCATAGAAGAAGTCAAACTGGTTTACAACCAACATTAATAACTAATCGAAAGGATCAAGCAACGTCAACTGATTTATCAATTCAAACATTTTGTGTATCAAATCAACCATCAACTAAATCAAATAATGCAAGAACAACAAGAAGACATCATTCAAGAGATCGAACAATTACAATCATGCTTGTTAGTGTAGCATTATCATATTTGGTATTGACTCTCCCATATCGTTTATTTTGGTTATATTTCGTTTATATAAAACGTGTATATCCAACTAAATTAAGTTCATCTGTATATTTATTAAAAATGCATTATATTGATCATGTACTTCGTACTATACGTAATATACATTATGGTACAAATTTTGTTTTTTTTATCTTTCTTTCAAAAACTTTTCGTCGTAAATTTCGACAAATATTTGTTGAAAAATTTTTTCAAACAACAAATCGTTTATTTCATCGAAATTCTACAACAATAAATACAAATTATGTAATTTATTCTAAAAATAATCGTCAACGACAAATGGATTTAAAATTAGAAAAAAAACGAAATACAAAAACAATCAACATTGATCCCATTATTGGAATAGAATCGTTATCACGAAGTATATTTGATGAAACACCTAGTCTTATTGGTGATGTTCGCATGCAAGAAGATGAAATTGTTCCCATTATAGAACTTGAACATAATAATCTGTCACGATATGATGACGAATCATAGCAGAATAATATCATTTAATTAAATCTTCAGTAATTAATGTTCCGGTTCCGGTTTGATTTATTCCTCAAAGGATTTTGTTTCTTTTTTTGACATGCAATATATGTTTGTTTATGTGAAACAGTTCAGAAAAACAAGAAATCATCCTTAAATGTATATCATTATATTTTTATTCAAAACTTAATGAAATATATTCTTTTTTTTTATGGATAACAGTGAATTTAAAATACTACTAAAATTATATATGAAAATATTGAATGAAATAAATTAGAATTTTAAATATATATTCTTTTCAAAAAAGTAAGTGATTATAAAAGAAAAACTGACAAACGAATTGATTAGATATTTATCTAAAATGATTTATCTTGATTTATCAATAATTAAACATGTATTTAATGAATTCACTTGACAAAAGCTTTGAGAACGCTGAGAAATAATTATCTGATATATGATGAATGAAATGATCTTAGCATTACCTCTGTGATTTTGTAAAATATTCTGTCTTATAATTAAAACAATTAGCTGAACAAAGAAGCATTTCATAAATATGCGATCTATCATTAACGCCTGGATTCTTTTTTTGCCAATTACAATTTGAACTAAGTTACTAACCCTTACGTCTCTTATCATTAATTGTGACAGCTGCTTCACTTTTACACTGATAGATTACATTAATTCGCTTTCTTATAAACAAATAAGTTCTAAAAAAAATAGAAGAACAAAATAGTAGAAGCGTTTTTGACTTACGGCAAAATCAACAATTCAATAAGGTTACAGATTTTTTAAAATTATGTTGTTATTTTTATCTTATTATTTAAGCTTGAATTATAACGGAAGTTAGAATTTGAAAGTCAAGCACCTAGCATCTAATTAAACAATTTTTCAATTATCACTGCGTAACCTAAAGAAGATGTCTGCATTAAACTATTTGAGATTGATGCACTTATAAACCACTACAAAAAACAAACTGTCGATAATTTAAAAACTTAACCCACATCTGCAACAGAAAGAATCTCTATGCACATAACAAAGAAAGAAAAATTTAATGGAAATAAATCTGACTTATGACGTTTTACATATCACATTAACTGTATTTATGTAATTAACTGTATTGACATGAAGATAATCAAGTCACGAATAGTAATTATCTCGGTATTTATCTATCAAAATCAGAGCATATTTCGGAAGGAATTTTCATTAGCCGTTGTCAATTTGTAATGTGATATGTTTTGAAACACGGCAAATTAGAAAAATTAGTTACCAAATTTAGACGAAACGTTTACTGATGTTTGAAGAGGACAAAACTTCAGCGTGTCTTGACATTGAGAGAAAATTGGTTTTTTAACCCGTGTACTGTATCAACGCTTTTCTAGCTTAATCAGTCTAATTCGATTTAATAGAAAAGAAAACAGAAATATAAATTGTTTTTGGAGAGCCATATTATAATTATTATTATTATTATTATTATTATTATTATTATTATTATTCACATATTAAATATAAACAAAAGATCAAAGAATAAAAATACAATATGAAAATATCCATCAATCCAGAGCAAATTTTGCTGGTTTCCTTGAAAAATGCATTTTCTAATATGGAAATTTCTGTTAGAGTTAAGCACTATTGAAATAATCACTTCCAATTATCCTTATATTGCTAATACTAGGAAAAATAAAAGCATGTTTTAATACAGTTAATTAAGCAGATAATCTAGATGTATAGTCACGTTAGATCAAAGTTTTATGAATCCGTTTAAAATCTTTCGCATCATATAATTAACAAAGCAAATGCGCAGAAAAATAGCATTTGTAGGACATAATTTCATTCCAACTGCGTATTTCAACATACGCATAATGACATGAACAGCCATCTAAATTTAGTTTTCATACAAAAAAAAAACTTTCGAGAATTATAATTTTCTCGACTAGATTTATTCACATTTAAATTAATGATATAATATCAATTAACAATACCTAATTATATTTCAACTATCAATGCTTGACTACAAAGTAAAAAAAAGAGAAAAATGACTCTGGTTAATTAGAAAGCTTTCCACTCGTCGTGATAATTAATATCTTTAATTCTAAACCATGTTAATTATGTCCTAAGAAGGCTTAAGATTTCTGAAAAAATTAGAAACCTTATCAGAAAAAGTTGTTTTCTGTTATATTCACACAAAGAACTATTGTAATTTAGTTCTTCCATATATTGATCATGAAATTGACAGTATTACGTATGTTGTTTATAATGAAAATCAATAGAATGTATAGTTAAAAACGCCAAAAAAACCGATGACATACATAGAACGACAAATCTATTCTAGTCTTCATGTTGTATCTCAGTTAAAATACTATGTTAATAAATGATTATAATTGTTTAATACAATATAAATTTCGATCTAAATCAATAATATCTCTTCAATCAAAAAATGCATATATTTACTACAGTAATAGAAAATAGAATTTCGATAGTATCTATTTCTAAAGCATTCAGAAAATCAGAATTAAATATTGAGATGACAGAATCAATATTATCTCATGAGAAAAATAAAACTATAGATTTTCATGTAAAGCATTCGAAATATCGCAGAATAATCTTAAAAGTTAACTAACCATAAGATTTTATGAGATTCTCAATGTAAGACCGCTAAAAAATCTCATCATATTTTTATTATAAGAATCTTACAAAAAAAACACCAAGTACGGATTGGAGCAGTTGTTATGAGATCTTATATTATCATATTAGGGACACTTGATCTCTTCAGTTTTCTTCAAATTTCATCAAGTTCTCGTTTTCATAAAGAGTAGATATGGTTACCATATTGAAATATAGTGCAGTTTAGATGTTTGAATAAATCTTCGAGCTTGTCACAAACTATGTGGCTGCTGAAAAAAAACAGGCTGTCTGCCTATCATGTTTTATTTGTAAATTTTCAAAAGAATTTTTCATTTTTTGAATAGGAAATGAAGGTATCAAAATATAAAATGGTGTATTTTTGCTGCTGAAAGATGAGAAATGATTTTTTTCCTTATTCTTTTGACTGGACATAATTACACTTAATAATAGATTGTGACTACATCATCCATTGCCCATTCAACTATTTAATGTATGCATTTGTTTCACTCAGTTAATGTTTGCTTTTTCTTATATGAATCCTCGACTGATACTCGTTATTTCCGGATTCATAATTATATAAATGTAATTCAGTAGAATTAGATAAGTCCTATTCAGCTATGTGGTTTATCAAGTTCATTAAAAATACTTTTATTCAAAAGTAAAACTTTTCCCAGAAGTTATGTTGTCTTTCATCAGCAGATACGTACTATATTTAATTAATAAATCTTTCTTATAGTCATGTCATTTAAATATACATTCTCAGTGAATGCACACGAGCCGATTTTAACAGAAAAGCACCAGAGACCGATAGCACTTGACAACAGTTTTCCGAACAGAAATGTCTTCAGATGTTTTTGGCAACTTCCAATCAATTTCCTAATTTGTCCTGCAGAAAATAATTAGAAGTCATCGAAAAAATCCAGAGATATTCTAGCTCAGAAGACTACATGCAAATTTCATCGATTGCCGAAATTTAAAGACCGAATGCGATGATTTATTCGAACCTTTTGCATCAATTATAGCCAAAGTTGTTTGTTTCTGAAGGTCAGAACTATTAATTTGAGATGTCTTCTTTGCTTTCTTATGTAAACAGTTTTTACTTCTATTCAACAATCATCATAACATTTATATGTAAAAAATATACATAGGCTATAATAGGCAAGCGAAGTTGATGATAACGGATGACAACCGTAGGAAAACTGAAGGAATTAAAAGAATTCTACAGTATTATATTATAAGAAATGCTGGCTTTGAGGTTGGGATAGAAATTCGTACAAGATTGTTTACGATCTTGTAAGAAGTTCATGAAATCTTATAGACAGATGATTTGAGTTGCAACAACATACTCCAACATTGATCTCACTCATGATTATAGCTGTTGATGTTCTTTTTCAACAAATAAACGAGCGAGAAATGCTAGACTTGAATCATATCATTATGAAAGAATTGTTCGATTTGTAACGCAACATTTTGACCATTTTCGATTTAGAATTTTACATTTCAAGCAAAAATGTATTCAATCTTTTTTCTTTATTATGTTCAATGAGATAAAAATATAATTTTCTATTGATTGTTTCCTATTGTTCTTCGATATTGTCTGATTCCAAACATTGTCGTTTAGCTGCAACTAAGTTTTAAAAAAATGATTTGTAATTCCTCTAATGATCACTCTTTTTTATTACCTTGATTTTGATCGTCAGGATATGAACGTTTTTGAAATGACTTCATCACTTTTGGTATATCATATTGTTCAAGCCATTTATTTAATTGTTCAAATGCCATAAAACGTAAACCAATCTGAATGAAAAAAATTGTTTTTTTGTGAAATTAAATTAATGTTTTTCTCTTTACTTGAGCTTCATGAGTTATATCATTTCGTTCTTGATCGCTCAATTTATCATAAATATTATTTATTGAATCAGTTTCCCAAGGTATCCGTAAACCCGGACCATCTATAAAACCAAATTAAAAAAAAACTTGTTAGTGCAATCCGTGCAGGATTAAAATGTGAAACGCCATATAACTGCCCATGAAAATCACTAAAAAGTTGTTTTATTCTAACTATTTTATGGCATGGTCCTTCACCATTCTTTTACTTATTTCTCAAGAAATGTAATAAGGAAGCAATTCATATATTAGAACGAAACATTATTGACACACGATCGGTGATCATATACTAACAATGTCTGTCACTGTCTGTAGTAATCTCTGACTAGCATTTATCACGAATATAGATCGTGTTTTACGAAATAATGAAAGTAAAATAATAAAATAAACCAACTTGATAAAATTAAACCACCGGAAAGATATTCAAGAACACGTCGAAATGCACAAACAGCTGAGACAGATTTTGATAAAGTATGTTCGATAAGAATTTCGATAATCTACGAAATAATAACATTTTAAAAGTAAAAATAAAAATAATTGATTATACCTCAGATGATAATGATTGCCAATTTGATGAAATTTTTGTTTTATAACGTAAACATCGAATTAATGCTGATGCATGTTGTCGTGTACTAATATGACTCTAAATATTTAAAAAATTAATTAAAAAAAAATAATTTTGTTTTTTTACCTGAAACCATCGAACTGAATGCATTGCATATAAAGCATTTAAACAATTTGTTTTTGTTAAAAGTTGTTCCGATGTTTGGCTATCTTCTTGTGGAATAGATGATGATGTAAATGATATGGAAACAGACATTTGTCCTTCAACAGTATTTGTATGTACTTGAATAGTTTCGTCGTCTTTTTGACATTGAATATTAATTTGACTTTTCCATGTTTCCTATTCGATTGATTGATTTACGTTTTTCTTTTTAAATTAATCGACTTACATGAAAATTACTATGTAATACAGAAAAAAGTTTTTCAAATAGATTCATTGTTGGCCATTCTGTACAAATAACAACAATTTGAAACAAGCGATCACTTTTTATTAATAAATTTTTCACAAGTGCACCAATTCGAGATACACCTAATAATGGAGATTTATTACTAAAATTAAAATAAAGAAAGAATTATTTAATTTGATATTTTTATAACATTACATTGATGTTACAGAGGTATTATCGATTGTCGACGGTTGTGAAGGATTGAGTTGATCAGAACAAGATTTAAGAGCTGTTTCAACAGCACTGACAAATTGTTCGATTGTATCGAGCTAAAGATAGAAGTATGATTAAAAGATGTTATCGAATGTTCCAGAAAATGGTGGATCTCTCTATATTTTACTAATGTCACTTTGTAGAGAAATAAACTGTGAATCCATTTAAAAAAACGAAAAATCTGAACAAAATGACTATTAAACGAACTATCATTAAAATACAGAGAAGTTCATGTTACCTAGGGGGGGGGAGAACATCTGTTTCTTTCGACATAAGTAGTATTTTGTAAGCTTAGCTTTTTAATCACTGGAGTTTTAGCTTTTATTCAGATTACGTCTGTTATANTTTAGAAATCCTTTAGGGATCATTCTATACTTTACCTTACTTTCCCTACTAAACTATCCCGAAATTTCTGAAACCTAAACAATCCACTAGTGAGCACTTTCTTCAATATGTGTCACATAGCAGATCGTCGGAATATGTCTTGCTCAAATATACGGAGACTTTTCCAACAAAAATTGTCTTTTTTTAAAATTATCGATTTTATAAGCCGTGTATTTTGGAGCAAGTGCAATGAAATAAACGGGATTTTTTTACTGATCGATAGCCCATAAAATTTACTACAAAAAGTGTTCTTACAGTTTCTGGATCTCGTGCTTCGTTAATTTTTTACAACTGTTTTTCTAATGTCCACTGTAGTGGACATCCGGGGGTAAAGGGTTAAGGACGATTTGCAGAAAATATAGTGATTCTTCATTTTGTTCAGCATTTTTTGCTCTTTAAAATAGTTCTGAAAAACTCTTATGAGACCTGAAAACTATCGTGACCAGTTTTTTTTAGAAACTTTGCCATATGAAATCTGGATATAGAATGCATTAGATAGAAAATTTCATTAACTATTAAACTTATTATCTGGATGTCAGCTAGGTACGTAACATTATAGAAAAATAAATAAAAAATAAATTGTTGTTAAACATTTCCCTACCATCTTATATAAATTGACACAGAAGTTCTAGTTTTTCAGATTGACTAGAAATAGACTCACCAAATATCCTCAGGTATTGTCTACATTTTGTTTTCAAAAATGCTGCATCAATTAGGAGTTTTTTAAACTAAAATGTAGCTAGAGTAGTACCTAAACATACATGTAAGATATAAAAATTAGCTCTAGGAATATCCATTATCCCAAGATATAAGCGTTTTGATTATGCAAAGGCACATTGCTAACGAATGATTTTGTTCATATGCTCATCTCTTTCTCGATTATTGTGGGTTATGAATTGATATATCTTTTCTAATTTTTTTTTTGTATATTTCAATAAACGATCCTGAAATGACCGACATTAGAAGTTCTAATAAGTATCTTACTTTTCATATGACATGATTTTTTTTTGGGATTGTATTTCCGGTATCATACTGATATGACAAAGAAAAACGCTGATGGATTGGATCTGTCATTATTCTATGAGAAAAATTGCTACGTGTTTTTATAAATTCTAATACAAAGTCTCCGGATATTTTATTATAATTCTATTGGTTTCTAAAATCTGGATTTGATAAGTCTGACTCGACGGGAAGTTTTATAGAACATACTGATCTATGATAGTTTAATTTCGTATTTCTATAAGAAATACCCCCCATATTGTAAATTACAATCCATTGAAATTTTTACTATACAAATATCGTTTGTTCTTTTTAAGTTCATCACGTTTTATATCTGTTCCAATGACTTACAAGTAACATGTAGAGCACAACATGTGTATTAATTTTATTGCTAATATAGCATTACCACGCAATATTGCACAACGTTGATTCTTTCTTTTTGTTAGAGAGAGTAAAATGTATAAAAGAATTCGATCAAAAATATTTCTCGAACATCGCAAAATTTTTAGAACAAAAGGTATCAGAAAACGTTTTTGAATTTAGAAAAAAAACTTCGCCCAAAAAGAAAGCTTTTCTTTTTGTTTTTCTATTCCAAGTTTCAAAATGTTAGGATAGGGCACTCTCTAATCTATCAAGGAGAAAGAAATATTCAACATACTTTTCAACAGTCAACATAAACACTATTGTAGCACCTTCTGATTGTCATTGACTTGTCATTACCTGTCATCACAATCACATAAATAGAGTCTGTTTCAAACTAGCATTTATTAGAAAATATATATTTCATGTGAAAATAGAAATTTATCGAGTTATCTACTTAATAATATTATTTAGAATAGAGTACAGTTTGTCTATGTGGATTTTCAAACAAAAAACATCGTTCTCACGTTATCAATTCCAAATAAAGTTTTCAATTAAATTACTTATGTTCAGTCTCTTGTACGCTAGATCAATTATTGTAAAACACCATCTCAAAGAAATGTTGAAATATAGGAGTAAAGATTTCTTTCCTTCTTCCACAAACCATGGCAGACGTTGATATAAGATCAAGGAAAAAAAAGCACGACTTCAGTACTTCGAAGTATTGGTGAAGTGCAAGTGAAGTGCAGGTGAAGTACAAGTGAAGTACCTTGAAGTATGATATTCATCATACTTCACTTGTACTTCACTTATACTTCAAAGTGCTAAAGTCGTGCTTTTTCCCCATTGTATACGATCAAATACCATATATTGATAACATATCGTTATTATATATGAACTATCTCCTCATTACATTTCTGAAGGATTAAATCAAAGTATGATAAGAAAATATATCTCAAGATAGATAAAAATCGCTCTGTGCTGTTATAACCGCAACTACATCATGTTTTATGTATCAATCTCACAAATATTGCACAAACAGCTTTTTTCATATCACAAGAAAGTCGTCGTGGTTAGGAATAGTTATATACATAAATATATATGATACTGAAAAACATCTAAATCACATAATGAAAAAAGGCCAAACAAATATATTTTGGATACGAAAAAATGTGACCCAACTGACAGAAGAATTTCTTGATATATTTTGTTCTACAACTCTTTTGACCTTCAAAAAACATTTCTCATTAAATTCTTTTTATACATTCTTCTCTTTCGAAATACAAAAACAGTTCAAGTCTCTATAATATTATATTGCAATGCTATGTCAAAAACATAATTAATACAGAACTTTTGTCTGACCTTTTCATAACCTATAGAACAATCTCGTTTTTTATTTATTTTTTATTCAAATTTAATTTGTCTTCTATTGATTGGATTATTGAGATTATTCTAGCGAAACAAAATGATCCTTGAGCGACAACAGATGCTGAAAAAGTAGTATATTTACATTGCTCTGTGACGTCCCTTTACGGCAAATTTAGCGTGAAATACGAGCTGCTCTTTGGGGACAGTATAGAGAAATATGAATCTTAGTAAACGATAAAAAAAATAGATCGTTAATGATAGTTGTATTCTTTATTCGAAAAGAAATGTCAATCTTAATGCATATCAACAACTTATCGCTAAGAATATGTCAATTTTTTATATTTTCGAACTATGTAAATTCTATCATGTAGATACCTTTTTTTAAGATTTTTCAAATTTCTTAAAATTTTTTATATTGATGCAAACTTTGATTTAAATGTGAGAGAATAGTTTTCTTTTTTTTTTTAAAGAATGAATCAAGTGGTTTGTTAAGTAGAATACAATAAACTAGATTCTAATTGGCTTCATCTGAGTTCAAAGGTCAGCTTGCTGTGATACCAAGCTATGACATCATAGGAAAATGTCATCATCATCACTTTTATTCATTTATTATTCTAGAACAATAAAAATTAATAGACATTCGTATATTTGATTGAATTCTTATATATCAATAAAATTGAATCTATCCTCAGGAAATAAATGAATATATGTCTTACTTTATATTTGAAATAGATTGTGATTGTTGACAATATCCAATAATAGTGTGTAATTTTTTACAATCAACATTATATTTATTTTTTTCTAATAGATTTTTTTTGTAAGCATAAAAATGTTGACGTATATGTTTTATTGATTGCATATAAGAATATAGACCAAATATATTAATAATAAAGTGATAATAAATTATTGAAAGAAATTCTGAACTTTTCCATTGAATTGAATTTGTTTCATGATTTAATAAAAGACTAATATGTAAAATTGAAATACTTATTGAAATCAATAATGATTGAAGTAAAGTAAATGTTAATAATGCATACATAGTTATAATAGAAATAGTTGCTAGTAATACATGAAATTGTTCTGTTTGATAAGATATTATTAACGGAATAATTAAAAGAAAAATTATTAAAAATCGTGTAAAAATCCAAAGTTTTTTCCATCTTTTATGTAAACGTATAAGTAATAATAAAATGAGAGTTAAAAAAATTATTAATAATAAACTTATTGTTCGAATATCAAATATTTTACTTGATAAAAATAAACGACAAAGAAATAGAGTAAAAAGATAAATTAATGATAATAATGGAAGAAAAATTTTTAAACATAATTTACTTAATTTATTTAAAAATTTTTTATAATAAAAATTCAAATCATCACAATCATTCATATGATGTAAATGAAAATTCTTTTTCCATAAATATTTCAAATGATTTGTTGTCATTCTAAAACAAATAAAACAATTAGTTAATACGATGATCATATTACTTTTTCATAGTTAAATATATATAATTTCGAATAAAATCGTAATCTGATGAATTTATTTCTTTTATCAAATTACAATTCGAAAACATTTATTTCGTAATCGTGAAAGTTTAACTTTATTCATTAAGAGATAATTACAAAATAACAGATCTTGAAAAGCAATTTCTTTCATTGTTCAAATAACATACGTACGTTGTGTTATATTTTCAGTTGGATGAATTATCGTTTCTGTCCTGTCTATCTCAATGTGTATTAATGATGAATTGTATGTATAATATGATGTATGGTCGATCATAGACGCATTGGAAGAATTCTTTTTCCTCTTCTCCCTTCTCTTCTTCTTCTCATTACTGTACTGCTGGTGCAATATGTTTTTTCCTTTCCCTTACTTCGCACCTACCCTTTTATAGGCGTTTCAATCAATCATCACACTACTGTTGTTGCTGCTGACCTCTGGTCAAAAGAATTATAAGCTCACTTACTTTTTTTACTTTATGATTGCATATCTTGAAGACGAAGAATAAAAGAAAAAAAATGAAGGCGATAGAGAAGTAAATGACGACGAAAAAAGAAATCTTGTCCAGCACCGATGACAAGTGTGATGCAATAAGATACGTAAAGAAAACGGAGAACTTGAACGTTTTGTGTACATACATACTGAAAGTGCTACAAATAAACACTTCCTTTGCATTAGATGCAAATACAAATAAGTCGACTATGTGTGAATATAGATCTTTAATTTTTTGCATCTTTACTATTGAATATACAGAAAAAAAGCGCAAAGAATCCGGATATGAACAATATATAAAATGGAAGTTTGCGTACTCTTCTGCTTACTCATAAATATATGTTTGTACTTAATCATAAAAGAAGACATTTACATGCAGAAAACTTCGAAAAAAAGACTTAGAAAGCGTCATACCATCATTTTACGTACATTAATTTAGTCAACATTATTCAAGGCTATTAGTTCTTGGAATCTTAGAAGACGTGCAAATGCTTCTAGTCTACTAATTGTGATTAACTAATGTTAGATAATGTCTCTTGTAGCTTATATGATGATGTAATAATAAAGAATAAAAAAGGAACCCGACACAGAAAAAAAACAGAGACTCGGCACATTATATGTTTACAGATGTATTGAATATTTCAAACATTGAAAATAGATCAGACGACCACTCATTGTCCTTCATTATATACAAAGACTATAATGGTCACAGTATAAACACGTTCTTTAACTATAGTCCGTCTTATTACTATGAGATTACATTAGTAGCTTACGAATAGATGACCTTTTCAAAGTGTTTTTATGAATAGATATGTTTGTTTATATATAAATATATATATATCTATCTTTTCTTTTCTCTTGATCCGATAGTCATGTCATTACAAGGTCTATTGTTCTATTTGAATAAGTTTCATTATTAAATCAATATTCTAATGTTTTTTTTTCTTTTCGAATATCAAATAGAAGTAAGGAAAGTTTACTTTTTGTTACATTAAAGATTAAGGGATCTCAACATGTGTAATATCAATTAATAAGTGTATGCCTTTTTCTCATTTACCATGTTACACACGTCAAAGAACAATCTATGTAAATGCTCTGTACATAACATAAAAAAAAAGGAATGACAAACGAGTCTGATAGTTCATTATAGTTTTTTTTTATCGGAAGTATAAATTGCTTCCAGTCGTCATATTGTACATGTGTAATTTCCTTTGACAAGAGAGACACTCTAAATCCCAATGATTGTGCGTGCTTCTTTTCCTCGCCAATATGGTGCAATTGACAAAAAAAAACTGGACCTGTTTTATGTATAGACTGAATACTTCCTTTACTCTAATTGCATACGGCATTATATAATCACACATCATCAACAATAACGATTGACTAATAATAATCTAATAGTAAAAATAATATATTATGCCCTAAGGGAAACTTTTCTTTTTTGTGAATCATCAAATTTTATTTAGCTTGATGTTTTTGTATTATAAAGCAAATAATAATTCGATTTTATATTGAACTGTGGAGTACTTGATTATATTTGAATAGACACATTACTTTCTTTTGCCTGGTTACCAATGGAACTTGATGTGTAATCATTATTCTTGTTACGTATTTTTCATTTTATAACGACAGGAGTTGCCCGATTTCATGCTGTTTGAGATAGAGTATTATTAATTCACTTGTTTAATATTTCATATAAATGACAGCTCGACAGTTGGTCAGTAATTCTATAACATATATGCAAATGAAAACAATGGCATAAACTTAAAATGATCGCCATTGGGGGTCATTTCTTTTTCTTCTTCTTCTTCTTCTTCTTTTTTCCTTTCTTGCTTTACAGCCATTGCTTGTTTGAATACAATGGTCAACAAAAAAATCGGTCAACTTGCATTGTGTTAATGATAATCATGTGGTCAGATTTCTATCTATTATTTATAATATATTTGAATTTTAATTATGTAAATACAAATGAAAATGAATTTCATTGTAAGATAAAAAATAAAATTTTGTTTATTTAGTTTTAATAATTTGATCTAAATTTCAGTATATATGGATAATCAAACATTATGTAATCAAGAAATAGTCTATTTGAAAAATATTCATGCAGGAAGAATTTATTCACATATTGATTATCATGTAAATAAATATAAAAAAGGTTTTTCTCTACTTAATTATTCAAAATTTTTTATATTTTTGTTTTTAGAATAGATATCTTTATTTCTCAGATAATCATTGTACAATAACAATACAAACTAAAAAACGTATATGGATGTCGGTGGAATATTTTCAATCGAATTCTAGTTCATCATTTCCAAGATGTATTGATGGTAAATATGCTGGAAATGATGACCGATTACAAATTATTGATGTAAATATTGATTTTCATTCGTTTGCCACAATTGACATGAGAATTTAGTTGAGGTTAGAAGGCGTAAATGAATTTCAAAAAACATTTTTGTTATGAGGAATGATTCTCAAATGATAAATCGCTTTTGAATCGGAACAATGTGCGTCATGTAGGCTCTAATGAGCTATGAAACACTGCGGAAAGATGTCTTCCTATTAGTGTATGTTCAATTTTTTTTTTGTATTTTGTTTTTAATACAACATCCTGGCCTTTCTCAAGAACAGCAGCAAAACTGATTTTCTAATTTCAATTTGAAACTTTACATAGATATAGGTGTTAACAAGAGTAGTTTATTGTGAAAGTTTGAGATATTTTGATTGTTCCTGTTCTGAATCAATTGTGCATAAATCTAATCATTGTTGAAAAAAGTCAGCCAAAACATAGTATTGATATGATTTAATATTAGTAGCTGTGACTTACTAGATGAGACATTATGGACTTAGCTATGAGTTGTTACCACTAGAAACTGAAAAAATTATATGAATTTTACATTGTATGTCTTCGTAGAACTTAGGTAATTGACTGTTTCACGAAAGAATGGATTGGTTAATTGATATATTAAACGTACGTTTTTTTGCCGATTAGGTCAAGAACATGCTTTTACCATATTCATATCTTGAGATAGGAAAAACGAAGAGATCTGAAACTCATTTTTCCTGCTATCCCCAAGGGGATCACGACATTGTGCTGAAAAAAATGCAGTATAAGTTAATAGTAACACATGTTTTCAGGGTATATCATAGTTCATTATGACCTACGAGCTGTGCACTGTCTCCATGCAAAAAACGATTTATTAATTGGAAATTTTCTCTCGTTAGGAAAAGATTAGTAATAGGAATAAAGCTTTACAAACAAGATGAATTAACTGACTTTGACAAGAGTTCTCAAACTAATGGCAAAGTAAATATAATAAAAAAAATTTAATTTTTTTCTTTTACTTATAAAAAAAGAATTCTCGTAGTGGATCCATTTGTTTTTTTTTTAATGCTCTAACTGAGTGAGTTTCTTTTTTTGTCTGGAACCATTTTAGAGTTCTATACCTATTTTCCTTAGTATAAATCGATTCTAGTCTCTTTTTAATTTGATAAGGTTTACCATCTGTTTCATTTTGGTAACATGAACGTTGCTCCCCTGACAGACGCTCTCACGACAGTTGCTTCCCAAACACTTTCTCCTCAACTACACTTGCTTTCCAGACAGTTGTTGCCCAACGACACTTAACAGAACTCTTATTGATTACCAGAACAATATATGAAAGGGTGTGGGTATGAGTATGTGTCTAGAGAAGATTCACACCTACACCTGCTTTTTTTTATACTTCTAATTGTCTATACTGTGATGAAAACTCAGTGAGACTGATAATAAGTTCTGAATTGATTTGAAAATTTCGCATCGTTTCTTGAATTCTATTCTGATTTATAACTATTTTAGCTGCTTCTTTGCTTATAATAACCTGTAATTCTTCAAAAAATATTTTGAGCTGTTTAATAGAGCTCATATTATTGCAGTACAACTGCCTAGGAAGTATTTGTCAAAGGAGCATATGTCATGAAGACTTCGTTTCTATTTTAATAACTTTAATATCAGCAGGAAACCCAACAGAAACATAAAGTAAATTGATGTATTATCAAAAAAAAGTCCGATTCAAAATTTACCAACAACGATTATGTGTTGTATGCCATCTATTTTATTGTGTAGACAATAAATTTAACTTTCAATTTCATTAGTGCTGACAACCATATATTATGTTTTAATATCATCACGATAAGACACGCTTGTGGTGCAATGCATCCGTGTTTGTAGAAGCCGCCGGCATCAATTCCCTGCTCATGTGAATAAGTAGTTTAAGAAAAATCATTTTCTCAGAAAACCTAGCCAATCATTTAATATTCTTCATGTCCCAGGAATCAAAAGCAATTTGTAGAAAGATTTATGAGCCATTTCAGACAAAATGGAAAATATCCATCTTTCATTTTACTTTGATTGTTTACAAAAGTAATTAGCAAACATCTCTGTAACTATACGAGCAAACAAATCAAAAAGCTTTAGAATAGACTCTACGACACGAATTGCATCTATGATAAAAATTTTTGCAAAATCAGATTCTAAAAGAGCTTTCTTTTAAAAACCAATTATCTAGAGATGCTGAAGAAGAATTTGTACCGTTTTTAATTTGTTTTGAACTTCTCATTGGATTATAAGAGTATGTTTCGTCACGTCACTAACGAAAAATAAACCGTCTATTTTTGAAAAATCTAGACATAGTCAAAAAACGTTTTGAATAGAGATTTTGTAGCCTTAGTAGTTGTCTACAGAATATACTATTTAGTTTTCAAAAATTGCTGCCATAATTTGGAGTTTTTTTTTTAACTAAAATGCATGAAGTGAACGTTGATATCTTCTTTTGTATCACATCGTTAACGTTAGTTTTGAACTAATAACTCCTCTTAGCAAAGTTCTCAAGCACTAATTCTTTTTTCAGAATATCTAATGTAACTTGACATATATGTAACATAAAAAATTAGCTCTAGAAAAGCTTATTTTCTCGAAATACATGTTTTAATTTTGCAAACTCACGCTGCTCACGAATGATTTTGCTTATATATTCTATTGAAAATTTAAAAGAGCAGTCAAATTATTATTTTTTACACATAGAATAACAATCTAAACACATCTTTATTATGAAGTGAACTACAGAATAAATATAAAATTGTTCTTTTTTTAAAATCTTGTAGGGTTACAAAAATGGTTCAATTCTACGTATTATCTGTGGTAAAGATACTGATAAATATTTTGATCGTACATCATTAATTCTTAAAAGTTCAATATTTACAATTGATTGGCAAACAAAAAGTCAATCATTTGGTTTTGAATTAAAATTTGTTTTATATGATTTAGCTGTTGATGGTCAATGTTTAAATTCTAATCAATTTCAATGTAAAAATAAACGATGTATTGATAAATCATTAATATGTTATGATGAAGATTATTGTGGAGATAAGAGTCATGAAAATAGTTTAGAACAAAATACTGAATGCATAATGAGTATGTATTAGAAAAACGAAGTTTATTTTTCTTTTATTAACTTTTTTTCTTTTTAGAAATTGCTAAACAAAACTCAATTCAGTCCCATTATATATTTATTCTAATTATTTTTTGTTGTTGTGTATTTGTATGTATTTTAATATGTAGTTTGAAAATTTGTCGAAAGCAAAGTAAAAATAAAGAATGTGCAGGTGGATTGTAATTTCCTTAACATGCAAGCTTTTTCGATGGTTTTTTTCTGTATGATTTTGTTAATCAAATTCAAATCGGATGTTGACAACAAAGAACTTTCAATATAAAAAAGCCCAACAAACACATTCAATATTTAGAGAACGCCCAATCCGTCAAAAGTAAAAGCTATGATTTGCCTTCAATGTTTCTGTATTCAAGTAAGTTTAACAAAACAAACTTCAAAAAAATTTATTATCTTTTATATTAGTTTTTACTTATAATATTTGCAAATCAAGTATTTTCACAACCATTTGAAGTTATTGATAATAATAATAATAATCAAAATTTTATTCCATTATGTGGTTGTTTTTATGGTAAAGCACAAATTGAACAAGTTCCATTTGACAAGGATAATAATGATCAGATTGAAAATATTGGACAAAATTTTCTTAAATTAACAAAAAGACGTCCACAACCAAAAGCTAATCTTGCTGGATTATGGGGTGTACCAACAAAATTTGCTTGAAAGAAATTTCAATATTTTCTTTTCTATCATTTAAATGTAAAGAAAACTTTCCTTTCTTTAAATAAAATTGATGAATATCAAAGATTGATTGAAAAAAAAAATAAAGAATAGATCCAAATTTTCTTATCAATAATACGATATTATGAGATTATTAATCTTCTATTATATTTTAGCATTCAAGTGTTTGTACAGAAGTAGGAGATCTCTCTTTTTGTGAAGAATTGTTTGCTCTATGGTTTTGTCTAATTTGTAAAAAAATCTGGAGGCTACGTATTGAAGAACCTTGTATTCATTTTAGGTTTTTATTATTTTCATATTGTATATATATAGAGTACCCAGAAGGTCATATACCAAAAACAAGTGTCTCTCTTTCTACCATATTTCAATTGATTGAGCTAATTCTTTTTCCTGGGGAATAAAGAAGAGTGCCAAGTTTTTGTCTTTTCATAAGAATAATGTTTATTAAGATCGCTTAAGACTATTATTATCTAGTTAAATGAGAAAAAGAAACAATACATTTTTCTATTATATTTTGATTAACGAACGGGATATATGTAGGCTTATAGAGAAAGTATATTCGTACAGGCCTATATATATCCCATTCTGTAGCCAAAACCTAATAGTCGTCTTTTGCAGTTTTGGCTAAAGATAAACGATAGATTTTTGGTTTTTATAATACAGTTCGAATTCTTTATGTTTTTAAATTTTCTTAAATTATTGAATAGTTTATCTCAGGATTCTTTCGGATGATTTCACACAGATAAATTGCTCAAAAAGTCAGGCGACTACAATTAACTTTTTGATAAAACACTTCCATGAGTATTCAATTATAAAAACAAAAGATATTTACAAATTCTTTGATATACCCCCATGTATAGAGGTTTTTGTGTCAAACATATCTATTTTGATCAACAAATAACGATACTAGAGTTCGTGCACTGGAAAACATTCCATTACTTCAAAGTTCAAAAAAAATCTGACCCTAGCACCGTTATTTGTTGATAAAGATAAAAACTTTGCTTAACGAAAGAGTCTCTATGCAATACGATGTGTCAAAAAGTTTATGGATACCTGTGTGTTTTTTATGCTTTACTACTCACGAAGTAATCGAAAAAAAAGATCATATTTTATATTGACGTAGATCGTGCAAAGTTGCAAGCATATCTTTAAAGTACTAATTTATGAATAGAAACTTGAAATTTTCTTATATAATTAGGAAAATAATTAGCTAATTTGGTCAAAATGTGGTGGAAATATACGTTGTCTTGTTTTTTTTTGATAGATGACTTTCCGAACATCTTGTAGTTTTTTCCTACTCGAATTACTATTTGGATTATTTTTAACATTTAAGATAATGGAAAAATAATCCAAAATAAAAGTTGTTAAATAATTCTTGGTAGCCATTGTAAATAGAAGAATAAGAATTTGAACTTTTTCAATGATATGCATCTATCACAACCTAATGATATGGAAATTTATTAGAGCTAATAAAGAATGAGAAAAAAGATACCATTGCTTCCCTACAAAAGAAATTTTAGCAGACGTTTTTATTTGAATTATATGTATATATGATAGTCTTTGAACGTTCCATGAAATATATATTTTTCAAAAATGATTCGTATCAAATATATGACTATGTATACCTTCATCGTATCATTTTTTAGATAAAAAGCTGTTTATATTGTGATCATTTCGATTTCTTCTTGCCTTTGGAATGTATTAGTTTTGGAATAGAAGAAATAGAAACTAACAATTTCTTTGTTAATATTGCTCAGTAAAAAACTAAATCGATATATAACGTTATACGAAACTCATAATTTGAAAGTCAAGGAGCCATTACGCTTGATTATTGCTAATGATTCATCAGTTATAAACAAGTCGATTGAGTGAATCATTTTTTTTTTTATACCGACAATACTCAGCAAGAACAATGGCAACATTGATTAATATTATAGAATTATGGCAAAATAAAGATTTTGAAAATGTAATCCTTCGTCAAATCAAAATATATAAGTAAAAGAGAATATATTATATGATAATCATTTATAGATTTATGAAGTCAAACGTTACTTTGTTTTTTATTTCAGAAATTGTTATTAATATTATTATTGTTGTTTTGGTTATGATTTAGTAGCATATACTTACATGATTTATGGATTTTCATTCTTTCAAACTTTTAAAAGAGTAAAACATATAAGTCTAATGGATGAAGTCCTCAACTGATTAATCGCTTTTAAGTTTAGACTATGTACATCATGTAGACCTGAATCGATTATAAATGCCTCGAAAAGAATTCGGGCCCATAGCTTATTGCTACCGGCATATTACAATTTTACGGTATTTCCCAATAAAATATCGTGACTTCCTTCGAAATACCAGATATACTGATTTTCAAATTTCGACGTGAAAAATTGCATAGAAACAAGCCTTGATGAGAATAGTCAATCGTGAAAGTATCAGGCCATTTGATCTATTCTTATCTTGAAATAAGAACATCCAATCTTCGGGTGTATATGACCAATGTAAAAGACATGCTCTTATCATTGTTGTATATTGAGATACGAATAATGCCGCAGTGTCCAAGGACTAAGATTTATGAATTCTTTCAATACCTAAAAGTATCAGCTGCACCTACTAAATTCTCCGAGGAACTGAGAACTGATACTCAAGCACTAGACATATCCTCTTGTGTTACCCCTATCTTATGCATGTCAGATCATTTCTTCAGTTCTTCTGGGAACTGATCGTAGATACCTTCTAGGTATCTATCTAAATTCCTAGATACTGTAAACAGAACTGATACAATTCCTCGGTTCTCCGAACTTTTTCCTCCTTGGCTGCAAGTACTACACAAGGCGCGACCAATGTAATATTTGCACCCAAGGTGGAAAAGTCCGGGGAACCGAGGAATTGTAACAGTTCTGCTTACAGTACCTAGGAATTCAGATAGATACCTAGAAGGTATCTACGATCAGTTCCCCGGAGAACTGAGGAAATGATCTGGCATGCATCAGATTGGGGTAATTCAAGAGGATATGTCTAGTGCTTGAGTGTCAATTCTCAGTTCCTCGGAGAGTTTAGTGATTGCAGCTGATACTTTTAGGTATTGGAAGAATTCCTAAATCTTAGTCCTTGGACACTGCTGAGTTACTCATATCATTAGATAGATCATATTTCGAAGTATATCTCTTTAAACTTAAATCTTGAAAAAGCGCAATTTTCGTTTTTAGTCAAATGTTCACCTTGATGCACATTATAGGAGACGGGGTCTGATTACGTTAATTTTCTATTATTAAAAGGGAACATAATTTTTGGTCAGTAAAATAAATGAAATGGTCAGTAAAAAAAATCTACAAATTATCAGTGTGAATATTGAAATGGTCAGTACTAAAGTGGTCAGTAATTAATTATAAAATGGTCAGTTTTTTTATATATAAGTATCAGTAACAAATTCAAATTTGGTCAGTAAAAATGCAAATTTTATCAGTAGAAGAAACACGTTTTATTCGTATAAAGATTAATTTAGTATAAGAAAAATAAATTTAAATAAATTAAAAAACCACACAATAAGTAAGAAGAAATTCAAAAGAACATAAAATAGAAATTCAAAGAATGAATCGAGAAAAAGAAAAATAGAATTCAATTATTGTATTAGCAAAGCAGGTTTAGCNTTCTAATGAAACAAGTTAGATAGACTGCGTACCTATAAATAAGACATGCGGTTTGATGAGTACAGATATAGGATTATATATATATGTTGTAGGCAAAATTGGAATTCGGGCAAATTCGGAATTCGCCCAGGCAAAATTGGAATTCTAATTCTGCCCGGTCAAAATCAGAATTCCAATATTGACTAGCGTTTTGTTGGGCAGAATTAGAATTCCAATTCTGCCCAGGCAAAATCAGAATTCTAATATTGACCAGTTTTTTTTCAGGCAGAATTGGGATTCTAATTCTGCCCGGACAAAATTAGAATCTGACTAGAGATAAATTCTTAAAAAGAAAATAATCAAAATTGTGCAACAAAATGTCATTGGAAACAAGATTGTTGTAAAAATATGGGTGAATAGAGTAAAGTATTTGGACTTGTAATTGTAAAATGTTCAGAAAAAAAGATTTTGTTGAATAAAATGTAGTTATAATACTAAGATTTTGATTATTTTCTTTTTAAGAATTTATCTCTAGTCAGATTCTAATTTTGTCCGGGCAAAATTAGAATTCCAATTCTGCCTGAAAAAATACCGGTCAATATTAGAATTCTGATTTTGCCTGGGCAGAATTAGAATTCCAAATCTGCCCAACAAAACGCTAGTCAATATTGGAATTCTGATTTTGACCGGGCAGAATTAGAATTCCAATTTTGCCTGGGCAAATTCCGAATTTGCCCGAATTCCAATTTTGCCTACAACATATATATTCCATAAACAGAATAAATGAGTGCTAAAGAAAACAAAACGGAGATCAATTATTTATTTCGTATTGTGTATCAAAACAGGGCGGAGCGTCTACGCAAATTAAAACAAAAATAACTGATACGTCACATAGCATTCAATTGTTAAATAAAAGGAATAAGGTCGCATTCAATCAGAATATGCTATATATTCGATGATGATAGAATAAATATTTCTATATAATTTTTTATTTCTATCTTTTGTGAAGATTTGAAATAGCTGATACCGATCATATATTAATTGTATCAACTAGCAAAAATCATCTATCATAAATCTTTTTCAATCAAACAACAAAGTGAATATCGATTGACTTTCAAAAAATACTAACCAACTGGATATATCTTTTCTAAACAATACAAATATATTTAAATCCATTCATCATGAGTTTTTCACAATCATTACAGTTTTATTAGTTTCACAATCAGAAGCACAAGACAACGACATGGACTCTGTCTTTCCAGTGTTGGGTGTTAATATTACGGCAGCATCATCTTCAACGGTATCTTTGTCAACATACTTGATAATATCAACCAAAATAACAACAAATCC